CCCCCCCCCCCCCCCCAAGAGTGTTTGAAAGTATGCAGCTATTGTATTCTCTGTATAGAAAACCTATAATGCTTTTTGACATCAGTGTTGTATTTGAACTCTGTAATAACTGTTCATTTGCAAAAAAAAAACAACTTGTACAGAACTATACTTTTTTTCCATTTTCTGAGATGAGAGAGAGACCTTATAGCACAAAGTATGCTGGCAAATGGCGCACCTCCACCACTCTCCCAGTTATACAGACCATAATTAATATGCAGAAAATGATTGGGTAAACCCACATGTACATTTCTTTCACCACTACTTTCTTTTTACAGTGGCTTTTTAAAATAAATGCAACATTTTGGAAGTTTAATCAAAGGCTTGACATAGTACAACACTTTGTTGGGCAGAGGCATTTGATTACAAAAGTGGGACTGCTGCTGACTTCTCAAACCTATCGCTGTCACATGTTTGGGAGCCCTACCCATCAAATCCTGATTGTAAACCGTGACCCAGAACTCTCGGTGACCGCTCATTTGCTGTGCCGTCTGATGCATATATGCTGTGGCATGGCATTAAGGCCCACCCGCCATGCTGCTGCATATAGGCATACACCCGGTGGAAAGGCTTTAAGAAATACAGTTGACTGGACTTGGGTTTAAAAGTACAAAGATAGGAAGACCACTATCTTTAGCAACTGGCAGTCCTGAAGATTTAGCAAGCACTTGATGCAACTATTAACACCTTTTTGTGTACTGCAGGTTTTCTGTACTGCAGGTTTCAAACTTTCATCAATTTTATGTTCTATAAAGTTCAGTTGTGTACAAATTACTTTGCTACTAATACTTCCTTCATCCTCATGTTTGTGTAAACAGTATATGTATTTTTTCTCTTATGTTTACAGTATATACAACATATTACTGCTGGACTATACGCAAAGGAAACTTATTTTAATTTTTTAATCTTGTAGGTGGGGAAAGTGACGCAGAGTCTGAATTAACCTACAAAATGCAAGATTCGGGTAAAAAGGACATGTCTTTCAGACGGACTTCCGCAGTGGAGCCCAAAGCAGCTTCTAATTTTAATCAGTTTCTTCCAAGTAAAGCAAAACCGATAGCCTACAAGCCAGCACCCTTGAGGAAGAATAGAGTAGATAGGAATGAGGACAACAGAAAGAGCTGGGCAAACCCAGTCTTCACAGAGCCAGATGGCACATTTTCCAGGTATGTCTGTTTTTATATGCATGATGGTTGGCTGGTTATAATGATGCGTTTGAAAATGGTGGTGTTTCTAATCTTTTATATTTATTTGGTCATAGTAAATGGCTTAGTGTAGTACTTCAAGTACTAACATATTTTGTATATATTTATTATGTATATTATGAATGTTATAACCGTTACTACATTTCAAATATTTACATGGCATCTGATTCGCAAAGTCCCAAAAACGTTGCTGCTTAGAAGACTTTGCAGAGACAAGGTATTAACACACAGAAAATTTATATGCAAAACATTTTTGAAGCAGTTCAGATTCAGAGGATGATGGAAAGTTACCTGATTTGATACTTGATGATTTGGCACAAAGAAAGTTTCGCATAAATGCCAAGCCATCTGCGACTTCCATTCTCCACGCTCCATTCAAAACTGGCTCTGTGAAACCTTTCAAATCTGAAAAAGAAATGGCACCTGTGAGTTCTCTGGATGGGTCATTCAGGTCAGAGTTATGAAGTTAGCCATTGGGCAGTTCATCTTGCTTTTCATATGTGTGGATTTTCAGCTATTCTTGTTTGACAAATTTAAGCCTGCTTATTATGGATATGTAAGTGCTTGACATCTGGTAAGACGATCTAAATGTTTGCCGTGTTAGATTTGTTAAAAGCATGCTGAGTAAAGTAAATAAGCTTGGCATCATGAGTAACTGGTCCTTTTTATACATTAGCCAAGACCAAGGATTGGTTCAGAAGAGCCAAGATGGCCTAAAAACTCAATTAGATTATGTCAGATTTTCTTCAGATGAAGAGGATGATGATTTCCCGAGAGAAGTTCCAAATATCATCAAGGATGACCTCTATGCTAGAAAAGTCAGTTTACCTCCACATCACTTGAAGGACAGGGCATTCCTTCACAAATCTGAACAAATGGAGGGTCAAGCTCAGAAAATAATGTGGAATAGGACTCATTCTCGACATTGGTACAATGAATTTCAGGGTTTCAGGTTTGTGTACCTATTTTGGCTGTATATGTACGCGGATGCGTTGTACGGAGGACCAACACTAAACAACCCCCAGCATAGATGAATGCTACAGAGAGGAAACCGTTCATCTTTGTCCCTCTGTCTACCTGAATGCGTTAGTTTATAACTTTTACATAATAAGAACAAAAGCAACGTAGCCTACTGTTATGCACTGCAGTATATATTGGGCAATTTTTAATGCTATTAGCCCATGTCATTCCACTAAATGCATATTTTCCTTTCTGTACTAAAGAAGGTGCAAGCCTTAACTTTTTAAATTAGGCCACAAGTTGACTATTTTTTGTGCCTGAGTGAAGACTTTGCTCACTTAGCTCTACCTTCATGCCATAGGGTCTCACTTCAGGGGTAGTTCAGAACTCATGCTGTGGTTTGCATATCTTAGCATTAAGGGAAATGCAATTAAAACTGGGATTACTTGTATTGTTTAGACCTGGGAACTCTTTTGCAAATATCTTACCAATGAGTGAGACAAAAAAAATAAATGCTTTAGTCCACCAACATCTGCCCAACAGTTAGTCCAGCACTGGTTTTAATGTCCTTTTAAAATAGAGATGAAAATTTGTTTTTAAGACATTTTACAGCTGTTAGCTGCTAAGATTGCCAGTCTTTTGATCAGACACCATTGAAGCAGGGATACTTGTCTCCTCATCAGATTTTTTTTAATGTATAGTAATGTTGTGAAAATCCTAAAACCTGCAAACCAGATTCTCATTCGACATTTTATTGTAATGACTGCAGTAAGCGAGCCATGGAGGACAGTGAATGGACATCTGATATTGCATCAGTCCTAAAGCTCAAAACTGATGTCCTGCAAGACAAGAAATTTGAAGCAGACACTATCAGTAAAGCGAGCAAGAAAACAGTGGATCAATCCGAAAAGCCAAGGTGGTGATGATGGCATGATTTGCATGTTGGATATTGTTTAACGCCCTATAACTATAATTGTGTTTGTTTAGTTTGATCTTGTTTGGAGCATTTTAGAGAACAAGAATTGGAGATAATCTAATGTAAATGTATCCCATATAGCTTT